TCAAATAAAATGATGAAAGATGTGGTACTTCTACTGGCTCTCAAAGGAAAGATGCAGTTTGTATATATAGAAAGGGTAGGGAAATAGAAGCATGAAGAATATCCAAGCCATGGGGTTGACCCAAATAGAAAATGCTTTGTACTGAGAACACCTAGCAATACATTTTGACAAAAACATGATACACAAAGGAGAATGTATTAGTTATCTAGTGATGAGTAACAAACTATGTCAAAACCTAAGGCCTTAAAACAGTGATGGCAAGCCTTTAGAGGTTTCAATGATAACAAACAGCAGCATGCTGTAGGTTCACCACCACTGCCTTAAAACAATGAACACTTATTCTCATTTAATTCTTTGGCTCAGGAATCCAGGCTGGGTTACTGGGCTCCTTTGGCTAAGGTATCAAGAGGGACTGCAGTCATCTCAGGAAGGATCAACTTCCAAGCTTGCTCAGGTGACTGTTGGCAGTTCTCAGAGCTTGACTGTCACCAGGGATGGGAGCTCCTGGCTATGTGGCCTCTCCATAGGACAGTTACCATAATGCCAGCTGGTTTCCCTCAAAGCAAACACAGGAGAGAACAAGAGAAAGCAGGTGAGAGTCACCATCTTTAACCTTGTATCAGAAGTGACAAGGTATCACGTATCACTCCTGCCAAATGTACAAGTAGGTCACTAGGCCTAAGCCAAGGGGATTATGAATGGCATGAGTTCCAGGAGGTGGGATTCACTGGGGGCTGTCTTTGAAGGTGCCTTGCACAAGAGTAACAAAAGATGCTGTGGAAAGTATAGGCTGGGTAAATTAAAGAAAGCTATGGAAGCCACCCTGAGAATGAGACCATTTCACTGCAGATGGAGGAGGGCAGAGAGTGTCAAATTTAATGTTTAAATTCACTTCAGGGAAAATCCAAAGGTTGGATACATAGAATTTTGATGGTTGTCCTCAAGAGCAGCTGTTTAGCAAGTTGGAAAGCTTAACTAATTACACCCCCCCAAGAAACAGAAGCACTCACTTTATCAGATAACAATGATCAGATAATTGTATAGCAGATAACTGTCTGCTCTTACTCAAACCTTCTAACAACCTAACTTAATGATACATTCTTGAAAATCCAAAATGAAGAACTGATGTTTGTGACTGCTTTTCTGTGTTAGGCTAGTCACTAAAGTTTGCTTTGAGTAGCTTTCAAAATTCTTTGGTCTGCCACTCATAATAAGCAATACATTTTATGCCACAACCCAGAGTACTTAATCAAACTACAAAGTATTTGTTTGTTTTTCAGTACTTTGTATTGAACCTAGGACCTTTGCAGTGAGCTAAATCCCCAGTCTTTTTTTTCAAATTTTAAATTTTGAGGCAAGGTCTTGCTAAAATCACTGAATTGTCCAGGCTATACTGGAATTTGTAATTCTCCTGCCTCAGCCTCCCAAAGTACTGGAATTATAGACCTCCACTACCATACCCAGCTCTCAAACTTTATGAAATACTTAGTATTACTATATACAGTTCACTTTTTTCCTATTCTGTTCTAGTTGCATTAAAAAAGAAAATAAGCTCAGTGATCTACTGAATCCTTTACTTTTCACTGTGTAGTCCTGTTCTACAGTTTGAAAAACACTGCTCTTCTAGAGCATTGGCTTAGAAATCAAACTCATGGTACTCTGACATCAGGTTTTTGGTGATATAGTGAGGGAAGGCATTGTGTCCAGTGCACTCCAATCAAAGCATTACAGCAAAAACTCAAAGCACACTAAGTCTTAGCTGGAAGGCACTTTTATTAAATTGGCTCTTAAGAAGACGAATGTAATTAGTCATAGAAAAAAATCACCTTAAAGTGTCATTTATTATTCAGATTGTAACCCTACGGCAATCAGATCAAGATTACAAGCCCTGAACACACATGCACACACTCATACACAACACATGAAACATGCCCTCAATTTTACACATATATACTTCTCTTAAATATGCGATGTTACATGAACTACCAAAAAAAGGCCAAAGGACAAGAGGCTTAGTTGCCAGCCATAATCAACAACTCTAAAAACTTCCCTAATGCCTGCGATTAAGCAAATGACCTCAGATTCACCTGAATGAAAAGATGGCTGAAGACCTTTGATATTCATCGATTGAAACCTGATAGGAATTTCCCAGGGCCCCTCTGTACCCTACCACCAACACTGCTTTTCTGACAAAAGAGTAGATTGATATTACTAGGGAATGTATGCGGAAGGAAGATAATCGAGATTTTTCAACTCAGATTATGTGTCAAACTCCAGATCCCTGGAGAGTTCACAGACTACAAACAGTGCAAACAAATTCTGAATACTGTACAAGACAGTACAGGTTTGAAACAATCCGGCACCACACCGTGTAGAAAACAGTACCTAAAAAGAAACGCTTTGAGAAAGGAGGGATTAAAACAAGCAGGGCAAGGCTTTCCTGAGACTCATGACTAAGCCTTGGTGGCATTTGACGGGAAGAAGAGAAGTTGGGCGCTAATGCAAGAAAGACGACTGTTTTGTGCTCCTGGCCTGACCAGAGCAGAAGGTTTGGGGTGGGGACCACGGGAAAGTAAAAGGGAAATCTTCTCCCTAACCAACCAGGAACGACGGGGCAGGCCAAGGCACCTGGAGTCTCACGGAAATAGCCAACTGTACAGATTTCCTCAGGAAAACATTGAAAGCAAAAATTGTGATCACACCCAACCCTTTCCTCTGTGCCCGGCCCGAAGTCTCCCACGTCCCTAAAAGGAAAAGAGCAGTAGGTCAAATGCGTTTGTTTATTCCTTCGTTCAGCTAACGTTTCTCCTCAGGAGTCTTTGTTGTCAGCAAGGGAAGGGCTCACGCCTTTCCGGCTGGACTGACTTCTCAGGGAAGGGGCCTCTGGATGCCCAACTCATAAAGACCCCAACCCAACTGCTGAAAGGCCCAGGCTCTGGAGACGGTATGTCGCAGCCCTGCTCCAACGAAGGTAGCGCCTTGTAAATTCCAGGAATGAGAGGCTAGGAGGAAAGAGCTGTCAGCGTGGGGGTGGATTAGCTACGAGGAAATCGCGCCGGGGAAGGGAAGACGGGGACTCTTGAGCGGCCCCAGAAAAACCATGGCATCCTTTGCAGGGGTCTTCCTTGCTTGTCGAAATGCAGTTTTCCCCATTTGTAGGGTTTTCCATATCCGCACCCAAAATGATATCCCGAGCCGGAGCCGCCACAACGGACCCCAACTGACTAGTCTTGAAGCGTCAAAGCAGATTTAGGTGGAAAAGAGAGAACAAGAAAGGGAAGGTGACCATCGCGTTAACGTTGCTGCCTTAACGCAAGTTTGCGAGAGAAAAACCCCTAAGTTAACCTCAAATAATTAACGCAGGAAGGGGCTTGGCGTGCCGAACGTGTCCCCCAGCCCCAAATCCTGGATGCGTGGCTCCCGAAGCAAAGGCAGTGGGCAACTCGGACCAAAGGGAACTAGGAAGGGCCAGCCGCTCCAAAGCAGGCGCGAGGGTGGTCGCGATCGCCTTGGAGCACGCGCAACAAGAAGCGCGCGCGGACACTCTGCGGACGCCCGGGACGCGGGGACGCGGGAACGTGGGCAGCGCGCGGCCGCGCGGACCCCAGCGGAGCGCGGGGGCGGGGCCTCGCGCGGGGCGGGCCCCAGGTGGTGTTGATACACAAAGCCGAGACCACGGCGCCGCGCCGCGCCCCGCCCACTGACGCGGCGGTCTAGGAGCCGCTATAACCCCGCGGGTCGCCGGGCCGCTCCAGAACCGCGCCACGCCGCCGCCCCGGAGCTTAGGTCCCGCACCACCGCCGGCAGCCCGCCACGCGTTCCCGCACGCTCGCGCCTTCCCCTACACACGGCGGACGCCGGAGGCTTGGGGCCGCAGTTTTACCGTTTTTTAGTTAAAACTGTTTTTTCCTGCCCGTTGTGGGATTTTTAAAAAATATTTTTATTTTTCATAATTTGTTGTTGTTCGACTGAGACAAACCTCCCCGAGTCGTTTGCTTGAGACTTTCGGAGACCGGAACCGCGACCGCCGAGGTCAGCGCGCGGGGGCGTTGGTTGCTTCGCGCGGGCGGGCGGGCGCGCGGGCGGGCGGTGGGGGAGGGGTGGCAGCGGAAGGGCGCTCGGGGCTCGTTCCGGGGTCTGGGCTGCGCCGGACGGGCGTCTCCGGCGCGCGGGGGCCCCGCCTGGGATCGCCGCCCGCGGGCAGGAGTGCGGGGGACCGCGTGCCGTCTGCCCGGTCGGCGCGGAGCTGCATTGGGGGGTCTTGGGGGGGGGCGCTCCCCTCCGCTGCGGCAAGTCCTGTGACTGATTTGCATTCGCAAAAAATGTGGAAGATCCCGGGCCCCAGGAATCCGGGGCTGGCCAAGGGGAACTGGGGCTTTGGTTCTAGACGGGGCCAGGATTGGGGAACGGCCGGCTGGGCACGTTTGACAATCGCCGATCGATGTTGCATCAGTTCCTTTTGGGGCAGAGGAGGGGCCGGGCCGGCGGAGTGCTGGAGGCCGGTGCCTGCGGACGCGTGTGCTCCAAGGGACGGGCGTGCGCGTGTAAACAAACCCGAGGCGCGCTAGGGACCGGGCCTCTGCGCAGAGGAACGCTGACAGCCCTCCGCACTGCTCCGGGAGGCTGCCGGTGCCGCAGAGGGTGGGCCCCGCGTTCGGGCTCCGGGCGGACCGAGCGGAGGTGCTGGTCCTCACGGCAGCCGTGCAGCCGCGCTCCTGGGCAGAACTAGACCTCTCAGCCGCAGAGCGGGCCTCTAGGGAGGGTGAGTTACTGAGGTCGGCGGGTGCGGCTCGCAGCTGCGGTGGGATCATCTTTGTTCTCCGCGGCTCGGCCGTGGGTACTTTTCCGCCCCTCTGCGCGCCCCCGCCCCTCGCGCTCGGCTGGTACTTTTCCACTCGCTGGGCCGGGGATGAATCAGCCGCGCTGCGCCGCCCGGCGGTGCCACGTGATCGGGTGGCGGGCGGCGCTGCAGTCCTGACGCCGCCCCTACCTTCACAGGCAGCCTCGAGGGCCGGTGCACCGCCAAGGACAAAAGGAGCTCAGCACTTGACACTCGCTGCACCCGATGCTCAGCATGAAGAAGACCGAAATGGGAAGGTTCAACATTTCCCCGGATGAGGACAGCAGTAGCTACAGTTCCAACAGCGACTTCAACTACGCCTACTCCTCGAAGCAAGCTGTTATGAAAAGGTGAGTGAAGTTGTGGGCTTTTGCAGACGTCGGAGTTACCTAGGCTCTTGGTGATGTTTTCATTTACTGGTGCATTTGGAGACAGTATAATCTCGAGTTAGCAAGGTTTTTTGTTTGGTTTTGGTCTTCAGACAAGGTCTTGTTATGCAGTTCGAGCCAGCCTTGAACTCACTTCGTAGCCAAGCTAGTCTCCAAACGTGCAACCATTCTGCCACAGCCTCCGGAGTGCTGGAATTACAGGCGTGCGGCACCACGCCCAGCCACCAAGTTGTTCTAGTGCAATGGCACCATCTTTTGTGTTTATGTATTGTTATGACAAGAATGGGCTGTTTTATGTTAAGCGAGTATGTTTTGGTGTTTAAATTGTGCGTGTATGTATATATTTTGCAGCCATTATGCAGATGTCGATCCTGAAAACCAGAACTTTCTACTTGAATCGAATTTGGGAAAAAAGAAGTATGAAACAGACTTTGTAAGTTAAAAATTGTAATTTGTGTGTCTGTGGCTCTGTGGAGTAAAAGACTAGTTTTACTTTTAGATTTCAAATCTGACTTGCCCAAAACTGGTTTTCTCCATTTAATTATTGTTATATGTTTGGTTATCGTTTCCCTCTATGTAGCATCCAGGTACTACTTCCTTTGGAATGTCAGTATTTAATCTGAGCAATGCGATTGTGGGCAGTGGAATCCTTGGGCTTTCTTATGCCATGGCTAATACTGGAATTGCTCTTTTTATGTAAGTATGTGTAAGTAGTGAGTCTGCCTGCCATGCAGGGCAGTTATATGATGGGTAAAACATTTTATATCCAGAAGCTGACCTTACAGTTGAAATAGTTGACTTTAAAAATTACTTGTTTAAAGTTAAAAATATAAGAAACCCCAAAATCTCTTTATTTTACTACATATTGCACAATATCAAGAAAGCCAATTAGATAGAAAAAGACAAAATTTAAAACTGAAAAATTAAGTCCAAAATCTTTTAAGTTAGTGGAAATGGTTGTTTTGTAAAAAAACTAACATACAGGGTAACAAAAAAGGAACTATAGATAATTCCAGGATAGCTATAAATTTTTTCTGGTAAAAGCAGAAGCCAAAAATAGTACTGAGCGAAATGCTTCCCCTATCAGTTTGATAGACTGACAAAGTCACCCCAAGGATCTATGGCCCATTATGTGAATAAGGAAGAGAAAAGTGTGAGGCATGGTGATGTTTACCTAGCCTGGTAAATGTTTATTTTAGGACAAATGAGTCATTTTCTGTATACTAAAAAACAGGTTTTTTTTTAACATTTACTTTTTCTGTGTAATTGCCACACAGGGTGGCAAAATTGAATACCTTAGTACCCACTTTGAAATGTTTCTTTCCAGTTCCCAGTTAGAGTTAGGTGCTTTTGCTTTCCAGCATAAATGCCTGGACACAATTTTGAAAGCGTATAAAACTTTAAGTGATTCTTTTAGACAGTTTGGGGTCATTTGCCCTTGGAAATTATCATGGAAAAATAGGAACTTCATTTCTACGATGAAAAGCACCTGCACATTTGTCACAGTTGTTAATTTTAAGTACCTGTGGACTTGTGGCAAAGGCTGACTTAGTGTTTTTATCGTACAGGTGAAATCACATGCGACTGTTTGTGACAGATGTGTTTTAGTTAGTTCCTGGTGACTGGGTGGTTTTCTTTAGCATGACAAAAGGATTACTAAAAGCAAAGCAGGCTTTCACAGTGCTATACTTTGTGAAATTACATAGAAGTTAGGACCAGTTGTGACTACTAGATAGAAGATAGAGTTTGCTGGGCTTATTTCATTAGAATGAGGCTTTTAAGACCTCTTGGAAAGGTAAGGAAGGGATCAGAAATTTATATGGATAGAATCCTCCATTTCAAAATTTTTAGTAGGGAAACTTAAATGGCATATTAAATATTGGAAACGTTTCCTAGCTCTTGGAATTTAAAAAAAAAAAAGTTTTAAAATACTGCCAGTGTGGCTAGAGTACAGAATTTTAATGAGATAAAATAGAAACTGTTTTACAAATGGAAGCAAAACTATTATGTTACCCTTGAACTTTAGGAATTCTGCTTTTATAGGAGCTTCTGTATTTGATTAACCATATTAACAAATGGCTAAATGATACTAAGATTGTGTGAGTTTTTATTCTTCAATATTCATATTATATGGAGAGGCCAAAAATCACATAACTGCAGCAGTTCACTTCAAACGATTTTTAGCTGACCTTTTTAAGTAAAATCAGTCTTGAAATTTTAAGTGACCTCAAAAGGGTATGAAATCCATTTCTCTTCCTTGTCATTTTGGTGCAAGACAGTGAAGGATTTAATTTGTTTTGTCTTTAAACTGTCTTTTCTTCAGTTAGAGGTGAAGCAAATGTCACCTTAGAACTAAATTCCATAAAAATTCTGGCATTAGAATGTTAGATAAACACTGCTTCTGCACTTACCTCCTAGACATCAGTTTCTTTATCCTCAGTTTACATGGTACTGTGTGCAATTTGCCCACATAGAATCAAAACTCATGGCCTTCTGAACAGAGTTTTTTGTGAGTTTTCCCAATTTTTAAAAAATTTTTACTTGTTTTTTAGACAGGCTGAGTTGCCCTGGCTGGGCTTGAATTTGCTATGTTCCTACTTTAGCCTCCCAGTATGTTAGAATTACACATATGTGTGACTGCATCTGCCTGTTTTTGCTTGTTAAAATAAAAATTCCTATCTTTACTTGGCTTTCCTTGGTGGAAGGCAAGTTAAGTGTGGGACGAGACAGAACCCATGCCCTAAAGAAAAACTAAATGGTCTTAGGGTCTTTTAGGCATTCCCTTCCCTTCCCCACCTTAAGTTCAAGTGGCAAAATGGTTTACAGTGTGCTGATGGTCTTCTTGCTCTAGCACAGGTGTTTTAACTTCTATTGTATTCTTTACCAGGGGCTCAAGTGTAGGATGTCATTACAGTGGTTACATCTCTGCCCAGTCATTAGTAAAGTTCATAGGGCCTAACACTTGATTTGAGGATCCTTTATTCCTTCCTGTCCTTATCTATATAGTACATTCCTGTCCTTATCTATATAGTACATGCAGTCTCCAGATCTTTCATGAACCTGTCTCAGTGGAATTTCACAAAAACCTTATGGACTGAGTTTAATGGCCTACACCTTACAGGGAACTATTAAAATGCAGAGAGAAGTGGTAGGAGTACAGCATTGATTAGCAAGTTTCATAACTCCCTTTGGGAAGATGGGCTTTCAGTGCTTCCTGCTGCATTTGACACTGGTGCCTCCCTGACCAACAGTGTCTGTTACCTGCGACATGAAACACATTTTTAGTGCTAGATGGCAGACTTGACACTTAAGCCAGTAGCACAAAGAATAGTTCCTGGGGCATTTTGACACAAATAAGACACATTTTCATATTGAATGTTTCTTGAAAGCACCCAGAAGCATTGTTACAGACCTACTTACTTATAACGCTTTTCCTTTTCTCCCCAGAATTCTCTTGACATTTGTGTCTATATTTTCCCTATATTCCGTTCATCTCCTTTTGAAGACTGCTAATGAAGGAGGTATGATAGCATTCTTAATTTTTCTCAGATAATTTATACCTTTCATGATTCTCTTGCAATGCATTTGTTCACTTTATGTTTCTGTTTCCTTTAAATTGTAGGATCTTTATTATATGAGCAATTGGGACATAAGGCATATGGAATGATTGGGAAGCTCACAGCCTCTGGATCAATTACTATGCAGAACATTGGAGGTAAGAATTTTTCCCAAGATGATTTGAGTAGGATTAGTTTACTGTATAGGACAGAGTGATGACCCCTGAGTTTAGTGTCATGTGCCACATTTTGCACTTGTAATGGTATAATTTTGTTTTCCTTCAGCTATGTCAAGCTACCTCTTCATAGTGAAATATGAGTTACCTTTGGTGATCAAGGCATTAATGAACATTGAAGATACAACTGGGTAGGTACTAAGTAAGGTTACTCCCAAGAAACAGTGGTCTATCTGGTTAGATACATATTCTCAAAGTTGGATATAAAGTGATTAGCAGAACATGAAGTTTCTGTTGACTGACCAAGAAGTCCCCCCATAAACTGATACAAACTTTTAAAAATGAAAAACTAAAGATAAAAGGTACCTCTGATTCTGGATAGCTATGTAGCTATAGTAACTCAGTGGATTTGGTTTTGTTTTTTGAGAGAGGGTCTTGCTGTGTAGTGCAGGATAGGTTCCCACTTGACAATACTGCTGCCTCAGCCTCCCGAGTGCTGGGATTATATCTGCTTAATGCCAGATACAACAAAATGTGTGGCTTTGTTGTAGGAGCCTTCATCTTCTGGCAAAGTTACTCATCCTAATGGGCTAGTATAGCAAGTTTTTATCTTAAGTAAGCAGAGGACTAAATTACTACCCAGTTTCATTCAGCTTTATTACCTCAAAATGCAGAGATATGGTGTCTTTGTTGCCTTAGAAATGTAATTTGGTAAATTACTTTTGTTTTTGATTCTTTTTTTGAGACAGGATCTCACTTTTCAGTTGAGGTTGTTGGCCTTGAACTCATTGTGTAGCCCAGGCTGGCCTCAACTCAGCAATCCTCCTGTCTCATGTCTCAAGTCTCCCAAGTGCTGGAATTGCAAGCATGCACCACCATACCCAGCTGATAAACTCATTTTTACATATGAGTTGTCTGTGGGGTCGGTCCTTCTTGCTAAAGTAAATGTGGTAGAATTCATATGTGGTTTATAAGAAGTGACTTTTGAGCTTAGTTCTGTATTAGTTCTATATTCAGAAGGGATCTTTTACTATTTTGGAGTCCAAGTGGGTCAAAGTATCAACAGCATACTCTACTCTGGAGCAAAGTTATAGTTCGGGAGACAGGATTGTTTTGGCTTTCATTGTTTTTGCCCAAGTATGGGAAATTTTCCTTGTTGAAATGTTTAGTAAGTATATTTGCTAACAGATATCTAGGAGGAAAAAAAAAACTTTGTTGTAAAATGTACTTGTTGCCAGCATTTGAAATGGCAAGCTCTAGCTATAACAGACTTGCTGTACAGTGTTTTTTCTAGAAGTGCGTAGAGATAAGCTTACTGGCTTCACAAAGCAGCTTTGTTCCCTATGTTAGTATCAAGACTTTAAGAAGCATTTTATGTTATGAATCAGCTGGCAATCTTCCTTAGAGCAAACAGTGGGACAAAAGTTAGACTGTGTTATACTCCCAACTCCAACATGAGTGAATATTCATCTAGTATACAGGTTTAAAAGCTGCTCCTGTTTGGAGTAAGGAATACTTGAAGACCACATTTTCATGTGTATTTTACAGTATTTATAATGTCAGTTGTCTGTGGAGACTTGTTGTATATACTCTATAACTAGCTTTGACCTTATTTCTCTTTTCTTTAATTCAGATTGTGGTATCTGAATGGTGACTATTTGGTTCTACTGGTGTCATTGGTACTCATTCTTCCTTTGTCGCTGCTGAGAAATTTAGGTGAGCAACCTCTTTAAAGATTACTGACAGTGGGGGCTGGGGATTTAGCTCAGCAGCATAAGTGCCTGCCTTGCAAGCAGGCAGTCATGAGTTCGATCCCTGGTACCAATAAAAAAGGAAAAGGACCAAAAAAAACCAAAAAAGATTACTGACAGACTCCTCAGGGTTTACTCTTACTGGAAATTAGTGAGAGCTTAAAGACCCTGAACACATAAATATAGGAGTTGCAAGCATGCAGAACCTGTAGTTTCTTTTTGATGTATTAGGGATTGAACCTTGGGCCTTGTACATGTTAGGCAAGAGTTCTACAGAACACTATCTTTGGCCCCTGTATTTTAAACATCCTAGCAGCGTATCTCCCAAGATGTTAAAATACTTCATTGACATTTCTCTGTATTTTTGCTTTGTAAGTAATACAGAATGATAATCTTTATTATTGTTTTGACTGTAGCAAGTATATATCTTCATATGTCAGAAGTTTAACATTGTACCTACTGGCTGGGCATAATGGTGCTCGCCTGTAATCCTGGCATTTGGGAAGCTGAGGCAGGAGGATTACGTGAGTTCAAGGTCAGCCTGCATTACTAGTGAGGCTCTGCCTTACAAAAAAAAAGTACCTACTAAACTTTTTAGGGTGCATAAAATCTTCCCAGCAGAATTTGGTTAATCCATAGAAAAATAGTATTTCTGTTCCCTAAAATTACTTCATTAAACTTAACAACTTGCTTTTTCCTACCTCTTATAGGATATTTGGGATATACCAGTGGCCTTTCCTTATTGTGTATGGTATTCTTTCTAATTGTGGTAGGTTGCATTTTTCTGTAGAAAATATTTTTTATAAGCCTTATCAAAGTAAGTTTTTTTTAAACTATAAAATAATACATTTTCAGGTCATCTGCAAGAAATTTCAGATTCCTTGTCCTATGGAAGCTGCTTTCATACTTAATGAAACAATGAATGGCACTTTAACAGCGCCAGCAGCTTTCATATCCTCCAAGGATCTCAACAAAACTACGATGGACTTCTGCAGACCACACTACTTTATCTTCAACTCACAGGTGACTAAATAGTTATGTTCGCAAAGGAACATCTTAGGAGGGAGGAGGCAAACCAATCACTGGAAACGTTACAGTAACTCCTAAGATAAAGGGAAGGTGACTTTTAGAAAACATGTGATTAGCTGATTACTGAGAACTGTGAAGAAAGTGTTGGTTTTCTTAAAGTAGATTGAGAAATAATCAGTATTAAAACATGTATAGCAGTTAAGGCACTGATCACTGTGCACAGTTAAAAAAGGGAGGCTAAGGATGCAAAAGAAAATACTTTAGACTTTGTTTCTAAATTTATGAAACGTAGCTACAAAACCAAGAGTAACCTGGGGTATTAATTAGACTCTTTTTTTCAGACTGTGTATGCTGTGCCAATCCTGACATTTTCATTTGTCTGTCATCCTGCCATTCTGCCCATCTATGAAGAGCTGAAGGGGTAAGTACTTTTGAGTTTACTGGAATATATTAGACAGCTCTTTATAACTGTTGCTAACATACATATTTGCATTTTCTTTTGAATCTGTAGCCGTAGCCGAAGAAGAATGATGAACGTGTCCAAAATTTCGTTTTTTGCTATGTTTCTCATGTATCTGCTTGCTGCCCTCTTTGGATACTTGACGTTTTATGGTAAATAATACCTACTTTGTATTTGGCAGGGGAAACATTTATTGAAATGAGACTGACACTATGTATACTTGTTTAAAAATTCAATCTGGTTTGGTAAATTTATTATTTGATAAGCCATTGAATTTAGACCTTAGGATTTTCTGTAGTGCATTTCATCGGTAGTTGCTAAAATCTGGGTTTGAAAATGTATTAGTCGGGGCTGCCCAGCGGCATAAGCACCTGCATTGCAATCGGGGTCGTGAGTTCAATCCCCGGTATCAATAAAAAAAAAAAGAAAATGTGTTAGTCTTTTGAAGGCATTTGTATGATGTTCTTGCCTCTGGATAAATTCAACCTGCGTGTGTGTTCTCCCATTACTGAGTAGCACATAAACTAAGCCAATCCAGGGGATTTAGCCATTTAGCTCCTGTTGTTTTTAATGGAGGTCATGTGGCTAAATCTCTACTTGGTAGTTAGAAAGATTTTTCTTCAAATGTTACTTTAATTGCATTAACTATAATTCCAAATTAATCGTATTAGTCTCTGTTTATAGTAACTTTGGAAGTAGCTAAAAATTTTAGTAGAGATTTCACTTTAAGTCAGATTTTCTAACTTACTCTACTTGATCTCCAGAGGAAACAACACACTGAAAGCTTTTTTGGTCTTTCCCTATAGATCGTGTCGAGTCGGAATTGCTTCATACCTATTCTTCTGTCGTGGGAACTGATATCATTCTTCTAATTGTCCGTTTGGCTGTGTTAGTGGCTGTCACCCTAACAGTACCAGTAGTTATTTTCCCGGTAAGTAGTGAATCACCTGCCTCTTTTCAGTAAGGATGAGTTTTTAAACATGTGAAAATTTGTGGTATTTTTCTTTTCTGGGAGAAGGGACACAGTAGAGCAGTACTGAGTTGGTGAGGGTTTCTAAGGGGCTTTCTTTAATACGATGTAGATTTTCAAAACATTTTGGAACATTTCACCCATAATTCAAGATAGAAGATAATCCAGTGCTTAGCTATTTACAAAACAGCAGCAGAGGAGAAAGCTTAGTTCTGCTTTACAAATCATTGCTGTTTTACATGCAGTCCCTAATACTTGGGAATTCTTTGCATTAGCTGAAGCTGTTTGGTGTTTTGTTTTTTTCAGATCCGGAGTTCCGTGACTCACCTATTATGTGCAACAAAAGATTTCAGTTGGTGGCGTCACAGTCTCATTACTGTGTGTATCTTGGTATTTACCAATTTGCTGGTCATCTTTGTCCCAACTATCAGGGATATCTTTGGTTTCATTGGTGAGTTTTTCCAAGTATGAAGGTTGACTCAAATACAGGGCAAGTTAAGGCTTAAAAAGTTAAAAGGATTAATTGAAATGTTTTCTTACAGGTGCATCTGCGGCTGCTATGTTGATTTTTATTCTTCCCTCTGCTTTCTATATCAAGTTGGTGAAGAAAGAACCTATGAAATCTGTGCAAAAGATTGGGGTGAGTGAAAGATTGTGACTAGAGAAACAGCATTGACTGACCTTTTAAATTTAGCCAGCCGGTTTTTCAGTTTCTTCACCATCATGGCCTCACCTTGAAGTTTCTGGTAGATACTAATTTACAGAAGGTTGGGCATGGGATGTAAAAGATAGTTGACCATCTAATAAATACTTAATATAAGAAAGTTTAGATATTGTAGAGTTAGAAAGAAACAATATCAAAAAGATTCACATCCATTTGTTGAAGCTGTTTGTTTACCTGCCTACTATGTGACAGGTGCTTCAGGTGGAGATCAGTTGTATAAAAGGGAAAAAAGATCCAGTGTGTAGGCTCATTCAAACAAATCTGTCTCAAAGTAGTGCTCTTGGGCCTTCTTCTGTGGTGTTTACGAGTAACCACTGCAGAGAAAACAAGAATTCTGATGTGAATATTTAGGAAAAAGGCTAATTCTCAGTCACAATATTTTCTACTACCATTCCAATCTGATTAAAATATTATGGTTGTTCATAAACAAGTAACTGTAGCAAAGTGCCAGTCATTTTGCACTTTATTTGACAAAGGCATGTCCAAATTCAGAAAGCATCAGTTGTTTTCCAGTATAAATCAGCCCTATATGAAATATTATATACCATATGGAACTTCTCAGCAATTACAAGTTCATGTTAAAAGCAGAATGTTTAGCAGGTGTGTTGCTTGCTGATGTGTTTTTTCCTATGTGCCATTGCAGGCTCTGCTTTTTCTGCTAAGTGGCATCGTGGTGATGATTGGGAGCATGGCCTTGATTGTTTTGGATTGGGTGCACAATGCCTCTGGAGGTGGCCATTAATTTTACTACCCAAACTCCAGTTCATCTGATGCCAGTGCTGCGTTGACTCTCAACTACTATGAAATTTCACCTGATGTTTTCAGTTTCACTTCCTTTTGAAATGTAGATTCCTCGCTGGTTCTTCTGAATGCAGAATAAGTGAAAAAAAATTTTTTTCTTTTTTTTTTTTTAAAAAGAAGCTTATCTCTGTGTTAGGAATGAATATTACAACAAAACCACGAGACCTTGGATTAAGGGAAGTGACAATTTTATTCCATTCCAGAGAATGGATGAACTTTTAACTTTTATCAAGCCACATGTTTGGCTGTGTCATGTTTAACTTGGATATTTTATGATTTTACTTGAATGTGCCTAATGGAACCATTCGATGTGAAAAACAATTCTTAATTTACAGCAAAGTATTGAAATAACCATTGAGAAAAACTTTTTTTTTGTACTACCAAAAATACTTAATTACCTCAGATGCACTATTTTACTTTTAAGAAATGGCTTTTTTTTGGACTTTATCCAGAAATACTTGTCAGTTCCATAAAATAATTTCATTGGTATTTAAAAATAAATATTAATTTTATGTAATGATTTGCCTTTTTTGTAGGCATTATTAGCCAGATACTTTTTTTACCCAAAGTAATTTTTAGAGAAAATAATGCAATGCGAAATTGTACTATGAATTAGGAAGGTTTTTTTCTGCTCAAACTTCACTGTACTTTAAGGATAATTGAGTGCTTATTGCTATACCAAATCAGGTGAACTCTGTTCATCACATCTCTGTCCCCAAATACTTCATTCAGTTCATCCAGACAAAAATGTTTTGGTCTTTAGCCCATTAGAATGGGAAATAATACAGATATTTCTGTGGGAAATAAAGTAATTTTGAGGTACCAAATAATGCAGTCAGGTAAGCAGGGCTTACTCAGTTGCATCTGTCTCCAGAGCTGTATTGACAGCTCAGACCTTTTTTGGGCCAGCCCTTTTTGACATTGCTTCCAGCAGTGAGAAATGGGCATTTGAATGGTGATAAGCCAAAACCATTCTATCCAGAGAGTACAGTTTCTCAAAATGCTCATCTACTGGAAGTGTGATTTACTTGACAATGTATGGCTTAGTTGTATTCATGTTTTGTCTACAGTAGAGGTCTGATCCATATGTTACACCTATATTTGGTATAAGTTCTCTTTGTATAGGCCAGTGGGTTTTTCATGCAGTAAGCTTTTTTAAAAACTGGTTTGCACTGGACTGTCATCTCATTCTTGTACAATGTAGAATTATTTGTTTACATCCAACAAATGATTAGAGAAAACAGTGCAACCTGATTGTATGTAGTTTTGGTCCAACTGCATGTTTACCCTTCCATTTCAATTCCAGTTAGAAGTGGCAAAATTACTTTGAAACTTGGCTTTAAAAGCACATTTATTGTATGTTACAGTGTATCATGACTATTAAGTAATATGGTACTTTGCCCATCTGGCATAATGTCAAATTTATATTCCATTAAGTGGTTGAGGGAAACAATTGAATTATCAATTAGTTTTCTGGCTATAAGGTTTTTTCTTGAACAAAATGTTTTTAGTTTGAAGCAGGGGCCAGAAAAGTGGCGTACATGGTTTTGTTACGCATTCTTGTATTATATGTGACTAAATTTATACAAAAGATGTGTCTGTAATTAAAGGCCCTTAAAGAATTGGAAGACGTCTTGTAGTGCTACCTTGGGTGAAATCAATGGTCCATTTTTGATTCTACAAAGATAAAATTCTCTGGACCATCTAGAAATAAAAAGGCAGTGAGAAGACAATTTCTACAGCACTGCTTTCATTGAATTAGGCTTTGGACACTCCATTTGAATCCAGAACCTCACCTCTAGTTCAGACAAAGAATTGACCCTTCTTCATGAGTTCCTGGAAAAAGATGATTTTTATAATCTAAGACCAGCCAGGGGATATCAAGAGTTGTTTTCTACAGTTCACATCCTTTTGTGAAATACTTGGAAACTTGGAATGGAAAGAATCTTCTCATATATATCAAGTCAGTGTGGAGAGGCTCCCCTTAATCCTCTGGCTATTTGAGGTTCAGAATTACCTCTTAGGACAGATTGTATCACATGATGTTCACGGAGCTATCTTGTCTGTCTGAGGTTCCTAAACAGTGAATTCCCATTAATGAGCAGTCTTCAGTATTAAAACCACTGTCTCATCACCTCATTTTGCATTACTGTCTTCCGTGGATGTTTCAGTTAACTGTAATATTATTTATAGAACACCATTAATCCATTAAAGCTAACCTATTTTTCAATATTTATGATAATCTATGTACATACAGTGTCTGTCCATATGTATTTGTAAATAGGTTGTATATACTATCAGAATTGGGTCTTGGGTTAAAGTGTATATATTCCTGTAAGTTTCTTAGCTGCATTTTGATGAATTCACATTGTGTCACAAAAGTACCTGTACAGAGAACTCAGTATAAAATTGACAAATTATGTACAAATACTAAACATTTAAAATATTTGTTAAACTATTTGTAATAAACTGGTTGAACATCAAATTTTTTCACAAAAACTTGGTGCAAGTTCAAATCTCTTTGTTTAAATTTTGAATAAGGTCCAAAATTTCAAAATGCAGTAGTTAACAAAATGTGATCTGAAAGACCTTTTGAGAAGTTGGATGTGTTAACTTGGTGTATATACTGTAAATACCCCACTGTACTGTTAGAGGCCAACAATTCCAGTACAAGGTTTGTTGGAAATGAGCTCTACACTGTTTCAATGAAACTGTTTGTTTTAACTGAACTAAAATAAATACATGCTTAATCCTGAGTAGCAGTGTTTTCTTTGAGGCAGTGGGATGAACACTAATGATGTAAGTATGGTGCCTTACAGTGTCACATGGTAAGTTTAATGAAGTAAAATAGATCTGTTTGACTTCATATTGGGAGGAAGATACCAAAGCATCGCTATGACCCTGACAGCCTTGGAGGGTAGCCCAGAGTAAGGGTTTAAATTTTGTTCAGAAAGCTAGCTTGATGCAGTTAGAATTGAAGCACTGAGGCACACACTTGGGAAGCAGACTGCATTAGTGAGCAAGTCATAGGAAAGGAAGAGAATTCATTGACAAGTTGTGCTTATGTAGCAGCTTGCTTTATTACCTCAGTGACACTAAAAGTGAAAGTGACTACGTTATAAAGCTGAATCAAAGGGAGGATGGTTTAGGACAGTGGGTGTGCTTGGGAGTGGTTCCAAAGAGTAATCTCCAAAGAACAACTTGGTTAATAATGAACTGGCAAAGAAGGAATTATGACTAGGCAGTGAAGCAGAATTTGCAATATCTGAATTGCAAAGCAAGGAATGGTTGAGATTTTCAGGTAACCTTTGACAACCTTTTACCCAGCACTTAACCCTGTGTGGTTAGTGCCAGTTCTGTTCTAAGAATCTCCCTTTAACATGCTACTGTGTTTTTAAATGTCCCCAAAGTGCAGCTGAGTGCTAGTTTATTAATGTAGAAATAGAACTGTACCTGGTAGGTCACTCAAAATGAAAATAGTATCCCCAAGGGGCCAGCTATTTTTTGAGCTTATTTGCATAAAGCCTGAGGAATATTTAAGGAACATTTCTAAATAAAGAACCAGAGCTGTTTGTCTTGATTTGGAGGTACTTGTACCTGGAAAGTTGGCTTGGTTAAATTTCTGAAAAAAGTAAAGTGAAGCCGTGTAAATTAAGGAAAAATGGCAGAGGGAGAGAACAGAGATTGAGATTCTTGGAAGAATTCAAAGATCATCGGGCTTTCAACAGTCAAAAACTGCTGAGACCTCTCTGGTAAGTGTAAGTTTAGCTGCAGAGCTACGCCATTAGGTCCTGAGCAAGTTGCATCAACCTTGCTCTCGGAACATCCACGAGGTGATCAAAAATATGGAGGTTTAACTTACTACAGTAAAGACACATGCCACTAATCCTCAAAATATTTGCTCTTTTTCAAATACCTATGTCACGTTTGCATGCGGCTTTTACTGTAGTGCCTAATTGAAATATCCACTGTACTTTTCAGTCACTCCTGTAAGTGGTTTCATTAAGATTTCCTTTTTTGAGACTTCCACACACAACACCAGCTTGCGTTTACAAGTTTGCTCCAGTTCAAAAGCTGCTTCAAACCATGTTTTTTCCAAGTTCTCGAGAGCAAGCATCTTTTCATTAATTTATCCCCAACACTCAAAACTCTTCATCAGGGAGTTAGTCCATAGATACTCTGTATAAATTGATGGATTTATTTCCTATAGTATTTTGAGGAGAGGGTCTCACTTTTCAGCAAGAATGAACTAAATACTTGCAAGATCAGTCTTGACTTAAAAGAATTTATTGCCCTTCAGCCAGAGGCCTATGACCCGAAGACTTTCTTGCCTAACCCATAGTCTGCCTCCAGGTGGCAGAAGCTGTCTTTACCCTCTACCTTTTGCGGAGGCAAAACCTTTTTTTTTTTTTCCAAGTCCTAGCCAGACTGGGTTGTCCCTGCACATATTGTGAGGAAAGAGTTAACACAGCAAGTTTGGTTGCTGACCCTTGGCCAGTTCCTAAGAATGCCACCATCAGATTGTTCTTCATGTTAGGGAACTGATAATTTTGTTAAATTCACCTGGAGCGATGGCCCATGCCTGACTGGTTTGTCAGGTTACTCTGCACAAACTCAAAGATTCATGATGTGTACCTGGTTTTATCTTTAGGGCTCTGATTTTTTAAAGGCCAAGGCCAGTTGCATAACAAGATAAGCCTATATGACTGGCCCATGACCCCTCCCTATAAAAGCCTTGGGCCTGAGATTCACTTGGGCTTCCCTGAATGAAGTTGCCTGTGTGTCCCCATAGTTGACTGGCAGAGAAAGAGCATTCCTGCATGGGCTTAAACAGGGAGCTCTGGGAAGTCTCTGCCAGACACCTCTGATTCCACTGTTGTAAATCTTTTTCCCATTGCTTTTGCTCTGTATCCTTTCTTGTAATCTATCTCAGCAGTCAGTATCACCTGTCGTTGAGTCCTGGGAGTCCTTCATCAACAAATGAAATATGTATATGGCATGATGGCTTGGTTTTTCTCCAAGTCATCGATTCACAACCCTCAGTCTCTCTTGCTTCTCCAGGAAGAATCTATTTTCAAGGAAATCTTCAAAGCATTATTGAGCAAGTTCTACTAAATAATGCCTGGGGGTCAAAGGCAAAGGAGTGTTTTACCTTGTGTACCCAACTGTATGCTGCAAGCATCATGCTGTCCCATTTGACGTGTCTTCTTCCAGTTATCTGACTACGTTGTAAATGAGATTACATTTTCCTATAATTTACACACAGTTGTGTACCCAACTGTATGCTGCAAGCATCATGCTGTCCCATTTGACGTGTCTTCTTCCAGTTATCTGACTACATTGTAAATGAGATTACGTTTTCCTATAATTTACACACAGCACGCCCTCTATTCTCATGAGTTCAGTTCCACCTTCCAATCTGCCTATTCTCAGAAAAACAAAAGCTTTAAAGTCTTCATCAGGATTTGCTCCTGAGATGACAGTTTTCTGGCCATAAACTTTTATTTCCGTTCTGTTCTTGAAGATCTCACTCCTACCCACCCCACCCTTTCTAAACAACTTCTCTAAGACTTTTTCCGAACCTCTTAGTGTACTCACCCTGAAAGTAGTTCTGGTAAATTAGATTGTGTCATCTGATTATCTTGAAACTATCTGAAATAGAGCCCAATCTATAATTTAGGGGGAAAAAAAAGCAGAGCTGTACTGGTTGAAATAGAGCCCAGAGTGAGTCTGGAGTCTAGAGCCCCACCTCCCAGCATCCTTCCACAATGACCCCTGAGGCCTTCATTTAGGAACCTACAGAGTAGAGCTGAAAAATGCAGGAGGAAGAGGTCCCTCCACCCTTCCTCCTGAAAATATTCCTACCAACCTGAAGCTGGAAGGCCCTACCTTCTGAGAGTAGTCTCTTTCTCTGCTTCCTGACAAACCGGAGCTTTGGCTGTTGTCTGCCCAGTCACTGTGACCTCAGCACAAACACAAAGACCTCAGGATTGAGACCAGCTTTACTTGGAAGCCAGGCACTCTGGCTGGGAATGTCCTGCTCTGAGTCCTTTCACTGGCTGCTCCAGAGGATCCTCCAGATTCTTAAGACCTTTCAAGTGTCTCTTCAGTGAAGAAATCAGAATGAAAAATAAATGGGGAAGACTCACGATCCAACATGTTCCACAGTCAACAATGCCACTGACCAGGAGCTGCAAGAAATCATGTTTTGGTATGGTAGTTGGTACTGCTGCTTTGTGGTTTGGGGGAACCACAAGATCTTTGCACTGAGCTACTTCTTCAGCCCTTTTTTTTTTTTTGTCTTTTTTCCTTTTTATTGGTACCGCGGATCGAACTCACGACTGCCTGCTTGCAAGGCAGGCGCTTATGCTGCTGAGCTAAATCCCCAGCCCCTTCTTCAGCCCTTTTAAAATCTTTTATTTTGAGATAAGATCTCACTAAGCTGCCCAGGGTAAATTTGAATTTGTGACCTTCCCCCCTCAGCCTCCCAGAAGGTTGGGAGTATAAGTATTTGCCACATCCAGGTTCATGATCTTTTCAAAGAAGTAGAAGAGATACCTGTACGAAAAATGTGTCGACCTCCAGTGTGATCTAGCTCTGAAGATGTGATGATAAACCAGTCCTCTGAGTCAATCATTTCTTGGGGATGTGGAGGATTATTTTCGGTCCTAAATGTATAACTTAAACTTTCAAAGTCATCATATTTTGCTACATTATTAAAATGTAGCAAAACCACACATCACTATAATTTTATAAAGTGATATATCTGAAGCAAGGCATGGTGCTACATGCGACAGTCCCACAACTCTACGAGGCTGAGGCAGGAGATCAAAATTAGAGACTTTAACCTGGACAGATTTAGTAAACTAGTGAGACCTGTCACAGAGTAAAAAATATAAAATATGGGCTGAAGAGGTAGCTCACTGCAAAGGTTCTGGGTCCAATCCCCAGTACAAAAAAAGATTAGAAAAGGAAGAAGAGGAGAAAACCGGAAAGCATGTGTCTGGGGAGGTATTTCAGACAATGAAAGGAACCAAATATATTGAGAGTACCTATTTTAAGGACACAATTCCAACAAGCAAGTATTTGTTTTTCTTAAGGGGAAATATGTTCCATAAGTTTTGGTAAGTGATGAATTTTATCTCGGTGTTTCCAGTTTATTACAGCTTATCCACGTTATTCCACGTTATATTCCAAGCCTTCCAAAAAACTATTTCTTTTTTTATTTCCTTTCATGTCTTTGTATTTCCCTTTTAAGTGACTGAAGTCTCAAGAGATGTAGAACTCATGGTTCACAACCCTTCTGCTCCAGATAGAGGAACTGTATTTTTAAACTGATCCCTAAATAGAAAGATCCAAAGAAGGAAATATGTGGAATATGAAAATCTCTTCTCGAAATGGATGAGAGCCTCATAAATTTGGAAGCATTCTTCTCTCATAAACTTCTCCAAAAGAAATGCTTAACACGTGTGGCCTGTGTCACAGGCCGTGGAGCAAGGATGCTCCGGCTTGCTTGGGGGGAGCCTAGCGAAGTATACTTTAAAAGCGCTCATGCACATGCAAACAATAATTCTCTTTCAGGCTATGATTTCCAATAAGCACTCACAGATTGTACCACAACCTTCATGGGAGCAGAGTTACTGACCAACATGTCAGTATTTGTTCCACTCTGCTGTCCTTCTGCCATGCCATTTCTGGAGAGCTCCACTGGTCTGGTGGCAATGGTGTGACCTTGTAGCTATGTAGCGAAGGTTTCAAATTCTGCTTTGCTGTACTTGCAAGTGTGATCTTCAACAAGATCCTTAACCTGTTCAAGTCTCAGTTGCTTTACTTTGTAATAAAAATCAAGCACAATTTATATGATTTAGTGCTTCCTTTTTTGCCAAGTACTGCAGAGAAAGTGAGTCCTACAATTCCCAGGTACTTTTTAAACAAAATTTTACTTTAAAGAGAATAAAACCAAACACACAAAACAGAATAAAGCCAATCAAAACAGAACAATGAAAGTGATACAAGACTTCATAACAGGATACTAGGAAATCAACAATGGCTACCATAATGCCTCTCCTTATCTTCAAAATTGCTAAAATCAAAACAGAGTATAATAATACCAATCAAAACAGAACATTGAATAAAACAAAATAATAAAATGTAACAGAGAAAATAGTGAGAACAATATTGGATTTCCAAGACAAGACAGAAAGAAATCCCCCATAGTCACTATATTGTATGTTATCCTTGCAATAGGTGCTCAGACTACCAGGCTTAGGCCTGCAAAGTCAATCAAACAACCTGAACACTGAATTGTTTCTGTATCTCATTGCTATCACCCTTGTTCCTCGAATCAGCCAGTTGCTTACAGGGGCCTGGGAGTGGGGCCAGTGGCAGTGTTCTTGTCTCCCAGCCCATGCACCAGTTGGCTCACAGGAAGGGCAAATTGGCTTCTTGCTTCTCCTCCCAGGACCCACATGACCTCTGTCATTTCACAAGAAGGCCCCCAGGTGCTTTTTAAATCCACTTGTTACTGAAGAAGAAAATTAGTCTGATAGGCTAAGCCTCAACCTGAAGGAGTTAACTAACTTGTACTAAAAAAGGGATGGAACTGAGGCTCAAGTCTAAGGGTCCTCAAATCCTGATCCTATGCTATTAATCCATCCATTTTAAAAGTAAAGATAAATGTTAAACACCTAAATTGAAGGTTGTTTTGAACATTAAGTGAAATAACCCAAGTACCTGTCACTATGTATCATGAAATGGAATATTATATAACAATGAAAAACTACCAATTTTTTACTTAAAAACTTGAATGAAGAAGGGAGCTACAGAATGTTGCATATATCTAGCATTATTATTTTTATAAGCATATTCTGTTTGTAAGATTCTGTCTTAGTTACTTCTTATTCATCACTGAAACAAAATACCTGAAGCCCAAAGTTGGGAAAGAAAAGGTTTATTTCTTACAGTTTTTGGAGGTTTCAGTCCATACTCAGTTGGCTCCAAAGTAGGGTGGCATGATGGCAGAGGCGCAATTCATGGTGGCTGCAAACAGCAAGGCAGAAACTGGCAAAAAGATCAAGACACACCTTCCTGCCTTTACATTACATCCTGGCTCCACCCCTATGTGGGTAGCACTGACACCATCAATCCAAGCACTAAACAATAAACCAATCACAAATGCACAATGCAAACTCATGAGACCTGGGGACCACAGACATAAACCATGACAGGTTCAAATCAACTAAAATCAAGCAATAGCTTTCTCAGCATACAATATATTTGCTACGATAATTAAAAAAAAGAAGCATCTGATATTCACACCATTCAAGACTATGGTTACTTTGAAAGAGTATAACGGGAAAGTGCACAAGGAGATGAAAGAGCCTGTAAATGTTCAAGCTCTCTGATGCTCAGAGGATGGAAAAATTCATAGAGAAGCAAAAGAGAACTTGTATGAACCAATGACAAGTAACTTGTGAATCACACTGACTGCTCCTATCACACACTACTTCCATTTGTTTGTTTGTTTCGTTATTTTGAGACAAGGTCTCACTGTGTAGTCCAGGTTGGTCTTGATCTTACTATGCATCCAAGGCTGGCCTCAAACTCATGGTGATCCTCCTACCTCAGCCTTCTGCCACGATACCCAGCTTCCACTTTTTAACTATAGTGAACATCTCTATGATCACTGATGTACAGATATCTATTTGATTCCTTGCTTTCAATTCTTTTGCATATGTATCCAGTAGTAAAATTGCTGGGTCATATGGTAATTCCATTCCAGCTCCTTTGAAGAAACTGCCAGATTATTTTCCATAGCAGCTGCAACATTATAAATTCCTGCCAGCAATGCACAAGAGTTCCAATTCCTCTATTTCATGGCTAACATTTGTTTTCCATTGTTTTGATTATAATCATCCTGGAAGATGTGATTTAAACTGCAGCTTCCTAGACTTGCATGCCTAATTCAAAGAGAAGATGGGTAGATTCTTTGCACAGGAAAGATAATATCGGTCTTTCCCTCATCTGCTGGGCATAGTTAGGAAAACTAGAATCAGAAGGCACAACTACGATGGAATCAACAAAGGGGGAGAGTGTGAACAACAGAGGACTGAGATGGAGAGAGTAGGCAAGAAAGAAAGAAAAGAAAACAAAAGAAGAAGAAAAGAAAGATGCCAACTATGAGATAGGAGGCTGAGACCCATGAGGCAGCTGGGAAAGCATTGGGAGGAGGAGGGTAGCCAAGAGGTGTCTAAAAAAGCAAAGGTTACTGACAATTTTAAAAGCAATTTCTAAATTGTACTTTACTTATTTACTTATTTAAGAGTGATACCTCAGCCAATATGGGTTCAAAGTCCACCCTCCGCTCAAGCCCCTAACCCTCCCGTTCCCTTTGCCAGGGTGGGTGAGGGTATAATGAGCAGCAACTTCTCTATCCTTTTGGAGCTATCTGGGCTAAAGCTCATTTTTTATCATTTCCCTTGCTGCCGTGCAACATGCCTCGTGGTCTCCCTCTAGACTGCTGTAGAAATCTGCCACTTCTGTTGTGACATACTGGTAACGCTTGATGAGTTTAAAGGAGAGCTCCCTCATCCAGGTTTGCTGAGAAATGTTGCAGAGATCATGGGGAAATCCACTTTTTGGTGGCTTTCTGTTTTTTTATATACACATTGCATTCTCCTGACTTTCAAAAACTACAAGGCACTGCTGAGCCTGATGGTCCGTGCCTGCAATCCCAGCACTCAGGAGGCTGAGACAGGAAGATCACCCTGAGTTCAAGGCCAACCATAGTGAGACTTTGCCTCGAAAACAAAACAAACAAAAAACTAAAAACTATAAGGTACAGATGAATTCTAGGGGCACTGATGAGACAAAAAATGTGGTCCAGATTAGCCAGCCACAGATGGCAGAACATAAATTCATTCAAAAGTTAATGAATCATAGGCTAAAGAGTGTTTTATGTATGTGTGTGAATAATTTTATACATATAAATGTCCTTCTTTTTATTAGTTTGGCCTAATGAAAACCTTGGATGATTCTGTAATAGGATAAAATATGAGAGAAAAATAATCTTTTTTTTGGAAAGAGCTTAATTATTGGTGTTTAGTTAACAATGTAAGCTGCATACATTTGGCTCATCTAGGGAATCTGATCTTACTCTGTGTATCAGACAAAGGAAGTTATGTGGCAGTAACAAAATACCACCAATCTCAATGACGCAATCAAGATTTTTTTTTCTTATTCATGGCATATGTCTGATGGATGTCCATAGGGTGGACTACTGGTTTCTGGACCTCTGTCTCAGTTTGGCCTCTAAGCAGAAGGAAGAAGATATAGTAAGTTGCATCTTGGTTCTTACGGTGTTTGCCGGGCATCACATATATGTCTTACACTCCCATTGACCAAAATATACTTGGTGATCTTACACAAGGTGGTCAAGAGCTGCCATTCCCAGAGTCTGGAACCACTGGGAGTATGCGGGAGTCTTTACATCCAGAGGCTGGTGCCTCATTATGTGTCCAGGTGGTCTGAATGTGACACTCTTGTTCCAAGACCCAAGAAGTAAATAGACACGTGATCAGTTTTAATACACAATTTAGAGGCGAAGAAGAATTGTACCCATTTCCTACTCATGGCAGCTTGGATTCAAGAATTACTTTATATTGTGAGCAGTTTATCTTTCTAAGTTAGCAGATCCTTTGGCAATTTAATTCTCAAAAATTTAGAAATTTCATCTGAGTCCAGTCAGCTCTGCCAGTAGCCACACCCACTGTTTTTTTCCAGATGTATCTTTGTTTATTGAAGTTGTACTTTTGGGCTAGAATTCATATATTATACAATTCATTTGAAAGTGTTCAGTTCAAAGGGTTTTAATGTGTTTACAGAGTTGTGCAACCATCACCACTAGTTACAGAACATATTTCATCACCCCAAAAAGAAACCCACCTTATGCCTGCTAACAGTCACTCTCCATTTCTGCCGCCTCCCCCCACCTAGGCAACCACGAATCCACTTTCTTTTTTGTCTTTTTCCTTTTCATTGGTAGCAGAGATCGAACCCACGACTGCCGGCTTGCAAGGCAGGCGCTTATGCCACTGAGCTAAATCCCAAACCCTTTCTGTCTCTATTGACATGCTTATTTCAGCCACTTCTCATAAGTTGAGTCATATAGCATGTGACGTTTATGCATCGTCCACTCACAATGTTTACAAGGTTCATCAACACGGTAGAGTATGTCCATGCTTGATTTTGTTGAGTTGTGACTAATATTCTGTTCAGTAGACACATCGTATTTTATTCAGCCACTGGTTAGTGGGGATTTGTATTGCTTCTACAATTTTTTTATGGGTGAAAATGTTTTCGGTCTGAATTTTATTATGCTCATCATGATACACAAGGTGTATAGACAGAAGCTTTGCATTCACTAACTATATGAAAAGATAAACACTAATAATTCATGTGATCCAAAATAAGAAAAGAACAAAAGACTAGTGTCCCTGCAAGAGGAAAAATTTCAGACCTATGAAAAGGACAATACTACTAAAAAAAATTGCATTTACTTAGAAGTATTCAGAATATCAACAAAACAGCTACAACTTTTTTTTTGCAGTTACAGAGAGGTATTCAGTTAACAAAGCAACAATTATTTCATATAAGCTGCTTCAGAGACACCTGAAGACAAGGATGTTATCCTTGCTGGGAATTTAGCTCAGTGTTATAAGTGCCTGCCTGGCAAGCTCAAGGTCATGAGTTGGACTCCAGTACAAAAAAAAAAAAAAAAAAAAAAAAAAAGACACTACGGTTCCCATTTGTAACTAGTTTGTGCTGTGCACCAACAAGAACCTGCTTTAAATTTCCATGCCAATTTACAACCCCCACACTGTACCAGGCAAGGTTAGCGGCTACCACCAGGACAGGGCTATCTAAAGACACATTCAATAGTGTGTTAACTCTACAAAAAAAAAAAAAAAAAAAAGACTGTATAGTTTAAAAACAAACCTTACACAGCCTTAATTTCATTTTTTTTTTCTTCAAAAGGAGTGAATTGTGCACAGGGGGGTTAAATGCTTTATAGACAAGGAAAAAAAACTGCACTAGAACCAACTTATTCATCATCACCCTCTTCTTCATCTTCACCCTCTTTGTCTTCCTCCTCTTAGAGGTCTTCATCTTTTTCCTCTTTTTAATTTTTTTTTTTTTTTTTTTTTTTTTTTTTGTCTTTTTTTCCTTCTTATCGGTACCGCGGATCAAACTCACGACTGCCGGCTTGCAAGGCAGGCGCTTATGCCGCTGAGCTAAATCCCCAGCCCCACCTTTCTTGCTTTTTCCAGCCTTGACAGCTCCCTCTTTCGCTGCATCAGGTTTTCCACTTCTCGGGCGGCAGCGATGTCCTTTTCCTACCTTTCCTTCAGTTTAGCAGCCTTCTTCTCAAGGCTACTTGTCACCGCTGCAGTGCTGTTCCACATTTCTCCCACTTTCTTTGCGACATCACCATGGACAGGTCAGGATGTTCTCCTTTGATTTTTGGACGATCCTCGGAACAGAACAAGAAGAAGGCCGAAGGAGGCCTCTTGGGTGCACTGGGATCCTTGAGCTTCTTTTTTGTTTCTAGGAGGAACATAAGTTTTCACTTCTCTTTCATAACAAGCCTTGTCCAGCTGTGCCATGTCTTCAGATTTTCCTTTCTCTTTAGCAGACATGGTCTTCCACCTCTCTGCACACTTTTTTAGTTGTAGATACTTAGGGCCCAACTTGCACGGGAGATCTACTTCTTAGGTTAGTTTAGTTTAGTTTTTTGAAATGGGGTTCTCTATGCAGTTCAGGTTGGCCTCGAACCCATGGTGATCCCCTTTTTTCAGCCTCCTGCGTGCAGGGATTACATTTTTAGCTGTTTTTTTTTTTTTTTTTTTTTTTTTTCTAAACTACTTCAGCCAATTAAAACAAGCAGGAACCATTTTAACCCATACAGTAATTTTTGTTTGTTTGTGGTGCTGGGAATTAAACTCATGACCTTGCACTTGCTGGACAGGCCGTTTTGCTAC